CTTGTATTTTCACTGGTGTTTGATAAACAGACACTCCTTCACGAAACAATGGAGCTATATCCTAATAAACCCATTATAAATTGACAGTATTATGAATTTAAATGCATTTACTTTACCTAACCTACGAACATCATCACTTAACAACGCACTGTACTATAGGGTACTGGTTGTTTATTCTTGTGATAACATAGCTGACTGGGAGTTGCACATCACTGCTGCTGCCCAGCATGGAGAGAATCTCGACAGACATTGTTAGCCGAGGAAAGGATAAAACATTTGAAGCACAGTTGCTACTGAATGCATGTCATCTTTGCACCATCTAAAATTGAAAAAAATCTTAAGTTCAAACATCATAAGTTGGACACCATCTATGTAAGCTTGCAAAGTGAATTTTTTTATAACTTCAAAAATCTAATTGTATGGTAAGGATGATGCTACTCGGTGCCTCAGAAGGACAAATTATGATTTGAAAAATGAAAGACAGGGACTGAGGACGTGGCTCAGTGATATAGTGCTTGCCTGAAAAGCATGAAGCCCTGGGTTCAATTCCCAGCACCAAAAAAAGAAAGAAAATAAAAATGAAAGACAGTTCTTTTATTCATCAGTTTGACAGTTTTCATTTCTGGTCTTACATTTAATTTCTTGTACTTGCAAATTTGTATTTTACATAGTTGTTACTCATGGATTTTTAAATTTAACATTCTTGGAGACATTTCTATGTATATGGGCTTCTTAATATGTAAATCATATAAAATAATATAGCCATATTCTAGGAAAATTAGATAGTACGAAAATGATTACAGTGTTTCATAGACGAAGAATTTGGCATGTATTATAAATAACTCCATTTCATTTATCTGTTTTTTTTTTCTGATTAGAAAAATAATACATGTTTGTTAAAGAAGAAGTTTAGGCAGGAAAATAGAAGAACACAACTTAAGTTGGGAACTTTCTGTACACCGTTGGGGAAATCCCAAGATACAGATTTTTTTTTAATTTATAAAATTAGTTCATTTTGTTTTCATAGACCTATTACATTCCTTGAGGATGAGAAACACATCTCATTCATTTTTATATCCCAGGCATCATTCCTAGCATATAACAATTGTTTGGTAAATGTGACTTGTAGGCTCTCTGAAATAGTGAAAAAAAAAAAAACTAGGAGTTAGAAGACTTGGAGGGGTTTTTACCCTTAATTTATTATAGCTCTAGGAACTTGGAAGATTATATGACTATTTCCCCTTTTTGGTGCTGGGAATTGAACCCCATATGAATGTGAATATGTGACACCTTTTGAATCTCAGTTTCATGAGCTCAGGGATGTACTACTACTACTATTTACTTTACAGAATTGGAAAACAAATGCGATAGAATACCTTAAAGTGTCTTGTAAAATTAAAAAGTGCTATCCAGTTGTGAAAGTCACCATCATTTTTTTTATATTTCTGAGAAGTTCTTACTGAAGAACTCTATCGAGAGTATGGCAGATTCCTAGCTGTTCACCAAAAGGTCTACTTTTTCTTCTTTCTGGGAATACAACTAGACTGTTTGTGTTCCTCTCTTGCATTTAGGTGCGGTCATGTGACTGAGTTCTAACTTTTGGAATGAGCAGAAATAGTATGCACTGCTTTGAGGCCTCATTCATAAAAACCTGCTATGAGAGTCCTTTCTGAGCTTTCTTCCTCTTTTTGGCTGCAGTAGAGACAACCTTCAAAGTAACGTTAGAAAAACACCTTAAATATAGAAACACCACTTTGAATCTCATGTCTGCTAACTAACTTTACCCATCCAATTCTTCTACATGAACAAGAAATAAACTTCTGATGTACTTGAATCATAATACATTTGGGGTCTTCTTGTTAAAGCAGATGGACTATCCTATTATAAGAGCATGCCAATATTTGTTCCACTTTTTCTTTAGAGAAGCAGCATCTTCTCAACAAACAGCCTTACAAACAAGAAGTAATATCAAAGAAATAATTACAAAGATTTGTAGATATATGTGTTCTGTGACCCAAGATGAAATTGAAGACAGAATTATCATGTGAGAATTGTCTGTTCAGAAAAGTTAAAAATGAGGCTTATAATTAAAGTTTCATTGGACAATTTATATAGCTTTTTAATCTTATTTGTTTATTTTTTTACTTTTTTATTGTTGAGGCCAAGATTCCAAAAGAATATAAAAGAGGAAATATCTGGATAATATCTTGCTTTAATTTGTATTTTAAAACTTTTCCTTTAACATTAAATATGATACGCAAAGTGTATACAATATTTTCTAATGATAGTAATCATGTAATTTGAAAGAAACATGATTCCTTCTCTCCAACTCTATTAAGTTGTTGTAACCCATTTCTTAATAAAAGCTTTTTGTTGAGGAGTAGGTGCTGGTATCTAGACACACTCCAGAAATTGTAGGGCAAGACATTTTCTTCAAAATATGCCTATCTGTGAAATTCCATGTACCTTCCTAAGGAATACTGAGGAAATTCAAGTACACACCAACCCAACGTATGGCAATTTTTACCCAAAGTTAGCCAAAGTAACTGATAAAACTGGATTTTGTCATATTCTTCATGGGGGGAAAGGGTCTCTTTAAATGTCTTTAGGTTTGATGTGGCCCCGTAGTATCTTTAATCGCAAGTACAATTTTAATCAGTCTACTTATCTAGCAATTAAAGTTTAATACATTCAGCTTTCAAGTATTTTGATTACAATAATAAAACACCACTAAACAAAATGAAAATAGCTTTCACAGAACTCACGTACTTTACTGCCTAGAAAAGGAGCTACTAACCTTTTTCTTCTGAGGCAGTAATTTAATTTTACACATTATGTTTAGTAATCTGATTTCCCCTGAGGAGCTTGGTGGTTCTGTGGGTTACAATTAATTCAAATAAGAAAGAAGCTATGCATAGCAAGTTAGAAATAGAGGAAGGAAGAAATAAACTATAAACTTTAGGGGATAATAGCAAAGGACAGCCCAGACATTAGAAGAGAAGGAAAAAATCTTATGAACAGGATACCATGCCTAGTCCTATTCTCTGGCATACTTTTTTTTTTTTTAGGTGTAGATGGACACAACACAATACCTTTATTTTTATGTGGTGCTGAGGATCAAACCCGGGTCCCACCCATGCTAGGCGAGCGCTCTACCACTGAGCCACAATCCCAGCCCCTTGCATACCTTTTTAATAGTGATGAATTATTAGGGGCCATAAATAGTTGATATTAAAATTTACCTTGAAGCATCATAAGGTTAAGAATAGGTTTTTTTTTTTTATAGGTTTAGAATAGTTTTTTATAGAATGTGAAGTACATTTTGAAGTTTCTTCAAAACATTAGAATTAAATTGAGGTGTCAATTAACTGAAAATTTTATTTAAATCATATTGCCTTAATTTCAACCAAATATCTACAATTTTTTAAATTGATTCTTCTTAGTTGCATGAAAAAAGTGTGTGATTGTTGATTTCTGCCTACCCAGTCATTTCACCTTCAAATTAATTTAATCGCAAGTACAATTTTAATCAGTCTACTTTTATCTAGCAATTAAAGTTTAATACATTCAGCTTTCAAGTATTTTGATTACAATGATAAAACACCAAATTCTTAACCTTGGGATTGTTTGGGTTCCTATTTAGTTATGACAGAATGAGGCTGTATTTCCCGAAATCAAATTCCTTTTAGAAAGTTAAAATGTAGTGTTTACTCATATTTGAGATTTTTTCATTTTTATTTTTAAATGAAATTTAATCCAATTGATATTTTTTCATGTAGATGAATTTCAATTCTTTATATTCAGCATTTTCTATCCCCAGAAAAATATGTCTGTTATTTGGAACCTATCACCTACTCTTCTGGAGATATAGTATTTCAGTTCAACTGAAACTGACTTCTAAACTGCTTTTTGTTTGGCAGATTATTACTTTTTTTCCCCCCAGAATGTTTACTGTCTTTTATTTTTTTTTCCTTCGTAACAGCAAATTTTGGTCCTACATTTATTATTTTTTAAACATCTTTATTAAGATATAATTTGCAACCATATAATTTTTTTATTAAATCATTTATTCTAATTTGTTATACACAATGGCAGAATGCAATTCATTTCATATTACACATATAGAGCACGGTTTTTCAAGTCACTGATGGTACACAAAGTATTTTCACACCATTCGCGTCTTCATACATGTCTAACTCATTCCACCATCATTCCTACCCTCTTGCCCTTGCCCTTTCCTTTCCCCTCCCTCCCCTTTGCCCTAAAGTTCCTACATTCCTTCTATGCCCCCTCCACCCCCCCTAGCCATTATGAGTCAGCATCCTCATATCAAAGAAAACATTGGGCCTTTGGTTTGGGGGGATTAGCTTGCTTCACTTAGCATTATATTCTCCAGCTCTGTCCATTTAACTGCAAATGTCATGATTTTATTCTCTTAATGCTGAGTAATGTTCCATTATGTATATATACCAAAGTTTCCCTATCCATTCAGGCAGATTATTACTTTGTAGTTATTTTACAGTGAGATAATTGAAACTTATAAGACTTTATTCAGTTTATAGATGATGTAAAAAAAATTATAGTTGTATTGAAGTGAAATGTTTTATTTTAAAAATATTTTTATTAGTTGTTGATGAACCTTTAGTTTACTTATTTATTTATATGTGGTGCTGAGAAAGGAACCCAGTGCCTCATACATGCTGGGCAAGTGCTCTAACACTGAGCCACAACCCCAGCCCCAAATGTTTTATTAAAGTAACTTTGCAGAGTTGTTCTTCATAGCATGCTAAAGACACTGCCAGACAAAATCTACTGCAGTGCCTTACACGTGGTAAGAGTTTTAAAAATATTTCTTAAATAAATGAATTAATGCATTGAATTTAAACTAACTATCATGGTCATAGTAACTTACAGGCAAAGTCAGATGTCATTTATTAGATGAATTCTTAACAGAAAATGTTAACTGTTACATATTGAATGTATTTATTTCTGGGACACAGGTGGCGATAAAAATAATAGATAAGTCTCAGCTGGATGCAGTGAACCTTGAGAAAATCTATCGAGAAGTACAAATAATGAAAATGTTAGACCACCCTCACATCATCAAACTTTATCAGGTATGGTTTAGCCTTATATTTCTTCATGGTTGCCATTTTCAGATCTCTATTTTGCATCATGCTTTTTCCTTTTATGTTAGTTTTTTTAATCTGTAAAAGAAGAATTAACATATGTTTTTACTAAACCAAACACATCTATTTTTCTGTATTATCCTTAAATAAAAATCTGGAAATCAGAAGCTAACAGGTGATTTTAAATTGTCTCTCAATTGCTGGTTATTTATTTTGCAACTGTGCATTTATGATACCCTGCCTGAACTTTCTGGGTTTTGTTAGTGGTGCCAGAAATGAGGATATGGCACTTGTGCTTATCTTAAAAGCATATTGTTTATGTTTGATGAAATACAATATTATTTAGTGGATACTTTGTAATACCTAAAGCCAAATCTTTTTTTTTAGTTTTTATTTGTTCTTTTTAGTTATACATAACATTAGAATGTATTTTTACATGTTATACATACATGGAGTATAACTTCCCATTCTTGTGATTGTACATGATATGGAGTTACACTGGTCATGTATTCCTATATGAACATAGAAGTTATGTCCACTTCATTCTACTGTTTTTCCTATCCGCCTCTCCTCTCCCTTCCCTTAATTCCCCTTTGTCCAGTTCACTGAACTTCTATTCTTCCCTCCTCCACCCTTTATTGTGTGTTACCACCAAACTGTTTTTTTGAGGGGTTGATTTTACCACATAAAGTAAATAAAACCATTCTTTTTTTAAATAAAAGATTTTTTTAAAAAAATCAACTTTATTAAGACTAAAGTTTTGTAAACTGTACCTCTTTTAAGTCACAGTTTTAAAAGAAACCTTTTCTCAGGTTTTTAAAGAATACTTCATGTTTAATAATAGTAATATAAAACATTTCTAATATTTCTATTCACTAGTTAAGTAGGCATTTTTAATCAGAACACTTCTAAAACTGAAAGGTCCCAGCATGCTGACTTGTGACTTTCATCTTCAAAGTATGATGTTTATACCCATGGCATTCTGAAGTTGGCTTGTACTGGCCTGTGATATTGATTATTACATTTTTAGAAGTTTGCTGATAAACATCACATTAACATATACCTCATAAATTAGTCACAGCCCTTACTTTTATCAGAAATCCAATTCAGTTTCACACTAGTGTGCTCTCAAATGGGTTAGTAAAAGTGTCCTTGGGAATATAAGAAGTTCTTCTTATACTAATATTTTATTTCTTCTTATACTTGGAAGTGTGAGAAGTATAAGAAGAAAATATTAGAACTTCTGTTAGGTTTATTGTGTCCTCCTCTGTGCATCTCATAGTGTACATGGTATATTTATACAATGGGACATGTATATAATTTGTATATCTGTGTATGTGTACATAAATACATGCATATACATGTAAATATAACCTGCATATATATTTGACTAACATTTATTGGTAGACATTTGCAATAAAAAATATTGGAGACCATTGGCTTATGAGATAGCATCCAAGAATGAAAGATTGTAGTGTGCTGTTCAAACCAATTCCTAACATTCTAAAACTACAGAAGCCTTTTAGGTCAAATTTATATCAATGTATTTCTTTCTTTAAACTTTTTTTTTTAATTCCTAAAAAAAAATACTTCTGGGAAACTTATTCTAGGAAATCTCTTGTAAACTGAAGAGTATCATTATTATGATTCACATGATAATCCTATCTTTATTTTTTTAAAGAGTATTTAAAAAATTTTTTAATTATAGATGGACACAATACCTTATTTTATTTATTTATCTTTATGTGGTGCTGAGAATCAAACCCAGAGCCTCACACATGCTCGGCAAGCACTCTACGACTGAGCTACAACCCAAGCCCAATCCTATCTTTATTTATATTAAGTAATTGATTAAAGTAGAGTTATTATTTGATTAGTTTAAGCCCAAATTGGGTTATAGAAAAGCAAATCAATCATCTTGAATCTAAAAATTAGTTTCCTTTCTAAATAGATATGTATTCAGTATAGTTTGAAAAGTCAGATTGATGACAACATACTTTGTGAACCTTGAAAAATAAAATAAAAGGATGTATTTTGGCTCAGTGGTAGAGCACTTGTCTCGCATGCATGAGGCGCTGGGTTCAATCCTCAGCACCACATAAAAAAATAAATAAATAAAGGTATTGTGTTCATCTACAACTAAAAAAAAAAGTTTTAAGTATTTAGCAATAGAGCTATGAAGAAGAAGCTATCAAACAGTGTTTTACAATTGTAGTACTTTGTAACAATATTTAAGTACAGGAGGAAGAATACTATGTTGTACCAGATTAGCTAGGCTGCAGGCCAGATAAATGAATTTCTTCTATTTTATTTTTCTTTTCTTAAAATCAAGGGTACCACGAAAACTTAGGGCTCAAAAACTCTGTGAGGTGGTGTTAAAGTTGATCTTCAAAACTTCCATTACCTATGTTAGTACTTCTCCAGTTTTCATGTGCATACAAATCACTTCACAATTTTATTAAATTCTAATCCAGTAGGTCCAAGGTGAAGCCCTAGATTCTGCATTTCTAACAGGCACCTGGGTAATGTTGCTACTACTGGTCCTTGGACACATTTAGAAAAAGGATCTAGGCTTTTCATTAAAATATTAGCATACAGATATTGCCTTGTACACTTCTCTGAACTTTTCATAACTGATTTTTTATTAATACTTTTAATTTAGGTAACCCCATAGAATGTCCTTCCTGTGAGACTAATATGAAATTATGTATCAATAGGTAATGGAGACCAAGAGTATGTTGTACCTTGTGACAGAATATGCCAAAAATGGAGAAATTTTTGGTAAGTTTTTTACCTTAATTTTTTTTTTTTTAATTTGAAAAGGTCACTAATCTACATGGATGGGTTATTTCATATTCAATTTTCAGCTTATTTAAGAGTTGGGGGCTGAGGTTGTGGCTCAGTGTTAGAGCGCTCACTTAGCATGTGTGAGACACTGGGTTCAAGCCTTAACACCACATAAAAATAAAACAAAGATATTGTGTCCATCTACAACTTAACATATATATATTTTGGGGGGGGGTAATATGCTTAATTCTCCTATTAGTGTTAAAGAGACTGGATAATCAAAAATAAGGAGAAACTTTCAGTCATGTTGCAATAGAGGTTTTCTTTACTTTTATATTCTTTTTTACCTTTCTTTCCACGGGAAAGATCGGACAAAGAATTATTGAGTCATGTTATTATGGTTTAGGTATTGGGGATATAATGTTGATTTAATCCCTGTCCTTGTGTCACTACAGCTACCAGACCTCAGGGCAAGTCCCTAACCCCCTCTGGGATTTGATTCCTTTATCTTTAATAAGAACAGTATTCAATTAGTTGGTCTCTGTGATCTATTCTACCCTAAAAATTGAAAGTATTCTATTCTAGCTGTCATCTAAAATATCTATTTATTTTTACTTTATGTAACCACAGTATTCTGGTGTCTAAATAATTCGTTCAAAAATTGTTTTTTAAACAGCTTTATTGTGGAATAATTCACATACAGTAAATTATACATACTTAAATTAATATGTACAATTTGAAAAGTTTTGATATCCATACACATGTCTGTGAAACCATCACCACATGAATATATCCATCACTTTCAAGTTTTTTTGTACTTACAAGCACTACTTTCTGTTTCTGTTCTATAGATTTGTTTGTAGCTTCCGGAATTTTATATAAATGTGTGATATGTACCGCTTTTTAGTCTATCTTCTTTTCCTTGGTATAATTGTTTTAAATTCATCCATTTTGTTGTATATATCAACATAAAATTTGTTTTTCTTCCAAGTAGTCATTTATTATATTAATATACCCCAGTTTGCTTATTCATCCGTCTGTTGACAAACACTTGGGTTGGATTCAGTTTGGGGCTATTAGGAGTAAGTTACTATGAGCATTCATATACAAGTCTTTGATTTACACAGTCTACCTTCAAGAAATATTTACCACATCAAATATAGTATAAGAACCTAAAAATAATATACTTCTATTTTGCCCCACCTGGCCTTTATGTTCTTTTTAGATATTCATGACAGTAGAGTGTATTTTGACATATTATACATATATGAACTATAACTTATTCTAATTAGAATCCCAGTCTTCTGCTTGTATCTGTTGTAGAGTTTGACTGTGGTGTATTCAAATATGAACATAGGAAAGTTATGTCCGATTCATTCTGTCTTTCCTATTCCCATATCCGCTCCCTTCCCTTCATTCCCCTTTGTCTAGTCCACTGAACTTCTCCCTCCATCCCCATTGTGTTAGCATCTGCATATCAGAGAAAACATTCGGCCTTTAGTTTTTTGGGGTTGGCGCGTTATGTTCTTGTTATAATATTTTATTTATGTCTGTTATGCCACACGATATAGTTTTGTTAGTTTTCCTTTAGCAGGTATCTTTTATAAAAACTTCAATGTTTTTTGTAAACCCCTACATATTTACCTGTGTAGTAACCATTGCCACATTATGTGTGCCACATTCCTCTATGTACATGTATAATTTGATCCTCCTTTGTGTGGATTCATACTTTCATATAGAGTTATTTTTCTTTTGCTTAATGATTTACTTTAATATTTCCTATAGCATAGGTGATGAAATCTTTTCAGCTTTTATATGCTAAAATAGTCTTTATCTTGACTTTCTTTTTTGTTGTTGTTGCATTGCTAGAGATTGAACCCAGGGCCTCATAGAGGGTAGCCAAGTGTTCTCTCATGAGCTATGCCCCATCCCTGTCTTTGTTTATGAAAGATATTTCCACTAGGTATAGAATTCAAGATTGACTGTTTTGGTTTTCTTGTCTTTTCTTTTTTAGCACTTTAAATATCTGTTTCACTGTCTTTTCATTAGCATTGTTACTGATAATAAATCTGCTATTGTTCTAAATCCTTTCTATATAATATGGCTTTTTCCCCCCTGTGTCTACTTTTAAGATCTCCCATTTTTACTGGTTATCACATAACAATTTGATTATGATATGCCTTTGTGTGGTTTTCATTATGGTTTTTTGTTTGTTTGTTTGTTTGGTGTTCACAGATCTTCTTGGACCTGTGAACAACAGCTAAAAAATGTCTAAATGCCTAAATTGAATTCATTCTGTTGTTTTCCTAACTAATTTTTCTGTCCCATTTCTCTTTCTTCTTTCCTCTCTGTCAGAGATTCTAGTCAAACATTTATTAGGTTGTTTGAAATAGACTCACAGCTCACTGGATACTCTTTTTCCTTTTTGCTCTTTCATTTTAGGTAGCTGCTGTTTCCTATGTCTTCAAGTTCACTGATCTTCTGCAGTGTCTAATCTGCCATTTTCCCCATCCAGTATATTTTTCATCTCAGATGTTGTACAAGTTTAGAAGGAACTTGAAACTTTTTTACAACTTCCATGTATTTACTTAGCTTTTTGAACATCTTGAATACAGTATAATAATTTTTAGTGTCCATGTGTGCTAATTCCAGCCTCACTTGTCAGTTCTGGATCAGGACTGGTTGATGTTTCTCCTCAGATATGTTCATATTTTCCTGCTTCTTTACATACAAGGATGGAGGGATGGGGATTGGGGGAGTTGGCTGCAATATTAAATATAGTGATCAAGGCTCACCTCACTAACATTTGAATAAAGATTTAAAAAGCACAATCCTGTAGCTATGGGGAGAGGGGGGATTATCCAGAGATAGAAAAGAGTAATTCAAAGGCTCTGAGGCAACAGTTGCTTGGTGTGTTCAAGAGATATCAGGGAGGCTAGTAGGGCTGGAGAGAAGCAAAAGGAAAGAGCAAGAGTGAGCAAGACTAGTAGAAGATGATGTTAGAAAGTAGATCTGAGGCAGGAGTGGGGCAGATTTGGGCCTTAATAAGCCATTTTAAGGACTTTGACTTTTACCTTGAATAAAATTAGGGAACCATTCTCAGCAGGGTTTCAGCAGAGAAGTGAACTGAATCTAATCTAGCATTTTAAAAGTATCACTGAGACACACACTGCTGTGTTGAGAACAGACTATAGTGGGAAGGGATAGAAACAGGAAGATCAGGTCAGAGACTATTGTAGTAGATGATGATAGTTCAGACCAGGTTTGAAGGAGGGTAATAAGTCACAAATTGTTGAACTCAGACTATATTTTGAAAGAAAAAATCAGTAAGATGTTTCGACAGATAAAGACCACTTAAGTAGTGAGTAGTGAATATAATTATGGAAGAAGACAAAGCCTCATATCTGAGGCACTCAAACATTAAAAGGTTGGGAAAAGAGAAGAAACCAGCAAACGAGCCAGACAAGGAAAAAAAGAGAATGTGGTATCCTGGAAACCAAGTGAACTAAGTAATCTCAGGAGGCTGGAGTGAACATCTGTGTCAGTGAGGCTGATAGGTCAAGAATAGTGGGAAATGACAGTTTACCTTTATATTTGGCAGTTGGTAAGAGCAGTTTTGGTGGAGCAACTGGGTCAAAAGCTTGATTAAAGGGATTTAAAGAAAATGAGAAAAGAACAATGAAGAGATCAAAATAGATGACTCTTCAGAGGAATTCTGCTGCAAAAAGGGAGAAAAGAAATGGGGAGATAGTTGATAAGGACAGTGAGGCCAGGAATGTAGCCCAATGGTAGAGAGGGCTTGCCTGGCATAGGTGAGGCCCTGGGTTCAATTCCTAGTGCACATGCACTCACATGCACAAAGTGTGTGTGTGTGTGTGTGTTTGATTTTTTTATCCAAAACAAATTGAGAAGGACAGTAAGATCAAGCGAAAGAGGTTGTTGGGTTTTTTGCTTTTTTTGTTTGTTTGTTTGTTTGGTTGGTTTTTGCACCAGGGATTGAACCCAGGGACACTTAACCACAGAGCCACTGAGCCATATCCCCAGACCTTTCTATTTTTTATTTTGAGACAGTGTCTTGCTAAATTACCTAGGGCCTCACTAAGTTGCTGAGACTGGCTTTGAACTTGCAACCACCATGCCCAGCAAGAGAAAGATTTTTAAGCCTTTACCTATGGGGATATTTTTAAAACTTTAAGCTGTAGTTTCATTAAACTAGACATGGCTGTTACATGGTAGGTGTCCTTTCTATAAAAATGGATTGTCTCAGTTCTATTCTCGCTAAGAACTTATCCAAACTCCTGAAACAGATTTGTGTCACTTTATTTTATATAAATTGAGGCATAATTTGGAGATTTTAAATATAATAAAATTTATTTTTAAATGTCTAAAGTAAATGTTTAATCCAAGTTCTGAGAAAAAAAATCTGAAGAAGATAGGAAAGTTGGACAGTGAATACTAGTTATTTTCCTGGTACAGTTATTTCTTGAGCACTGAAGATAATGAGTAATAAAGTTTAATTTTAAAAGATGATGAAGACTTAGGGCTGGAGCTGTGACTTAGTAGTAGTGCACTTGCCTGACATGTGAGGCTCTGAGTTTGATTCTCAGCACCACATATAGTAATAAAATAATGGTCTATCAACAAGTTAAAAAAAATTTTTAAAAAAGATGATGAAAACTTTGGATAATCTTCACTATTTTAGAATGAAAGACTCTGAAGAGAATTTAGAGATCATTTAGTCCAATTGATTTTTTATTTTGACTTTGTCATATAGCTTATAGCCCAACCACTCTATTGTCTTTTCTAACAAAAACTATTTCTGTACTTTTCCTTACTTGGCTTCATCTTGTACAAAGTCATCTAAAAACTGGGAACCTTGGTGTTAGTATTGATTTCTTCTCCCTCATCCCTCTTCAGATAGTTTTAAATCCTGCCCCTACAGCTTCCTAAGTATCTCTTTAAGAAGTCCCCATCTCTTCATACCCACTGCTAAT